GCGTCCACTAGTGCCAGTCGGATCCACCTCGCAGGAATCCACTGCAGGCTTTGATCTGTGGAGACAAAAGCATACCCTTACTCCCATGTTATCAGTGGTACTGCTTTTCTCAGCAGCCCATCCCTGGGTCCGCCACCTCCTACTAGGTTGGGTTGGTTCTTTTCTGCCAAAATGCTGCAGCATTGGTGGGACCTCATCTGCTTTCCTTATCTTCGTGGTAACATATTTGCACTTCCACCAACCAACTCCCTCATGGAAGCAGTAGGGACTACTGAGAAACTCCTTTGTAAATTGGTCATCAGTCAGTTTGGAGATACGGGTTGTTCCCACAATCAATAGTTGGTAGTTTCCAACAGCTACCGGTTTATGGCTGGAAGATTTCTTTTCTTTTGTTGAATGCATTTCTTCCTCCTTAGTTCTTCTAAAAGGCATCTTCAACAATTCTTGCTGTTTCTCCAGCTCTTCCAGGTTATGGGGTTTAAGTGGCAAGCATGGTAGTGGCTGGGAAAAAATGCCATTCACAGGGGAAGCCCTGAACCCATATTTAGGATGGCTGCATAACAGAGGTGACAGTATAATCCCTTCATATTCGCAGGTTGTGATTTCAGCTACAGAGAGGATCTCGTGCTTAGCTTTGGATGGCAGGTATACATCACTGTGCTTGATCCGGGTAGGTTTTGTCTGAAGCTACAAGGTGTGCCATTTCTCATTTCTACAGGATAGTATGGAGTCATTTGCTCTTCTGTATTTTCTGTAGGTATCTCTTTTGGATTTTCCTTTTCTTTTTGATATGGTTCTGACGGTGGGTTATCATCATTTTCCCAAGATAGTATTCTTGGATGTTTATTTTCTGACCAGTTTCTTTCTCTTCTTAAAATGGCGTTCCAATTTCTCTCTCTTCTTAAAAAGCCATTCCAACAATTCTCCTGGAGTAGGACTGTTGCAGTCCTTCTCTTCTCCCTCACTGCCACTGGACACGAGCACAAGGATATCCGCAGCAGTCATGACAGTGTGGTTGCACAGAGCACCACCCGTGGGCAGGCTGGGCTTGGTGCCGGTCGCCCTGCAGGGGCACTGCGGCTCAGCCCGCCTGCCGCCCACAGCAGGATCCCGCTGAGCAGCGTGGCCACCCATGGCCCCGCCCGAGGGTTGCACGGAACGGAGCAAGCCAAGGCGGCTGTGGAGGCGTCGCCACTGGCCCCCACCGCCAGCCACGTCTCCCCTATCCCGCAATATCACCATGTTGGCGGGCCATACACTGCATGATTATTTAGATGCGGTTCTTGCTCAGGCACCCATATCAAGCTCTGTTTCAAATCAGCCACCTCTCCCACATTCTTCTGCTCCTGGGTCGTGGAATTCCCCATCATTCTCAACTGCTTACCTTTGCCGTGCAGGAGGCACTTGTGTGCGCGCAGCTTCCCTTCAGCCTCTGTTCAGTCGAGCTACATCCCGGTGCGACAAGCGCACCTGTCGCCTATCTCTGTCCCTGTTTGGGCGCCATTTGCTGCAACTTGTGAAGGAACAGTCCTTCTGTTCCTTCATTTGGTATGAATCTGTAGTTCCCAGCCTCTTTCCTTTCAAGAGGCTTTTAGTGCATGCACAAAGGATGCTTCCTTTCAGCATGAACTCCAGAGTTCAGCTGGGCGGTGCAACCGGAGAGACAGCTAGTCTTTGAGCCCCACGTTTGCGGGCGTATTGAGAAGCATGGTCTCTGTGGTGGTGAGCCGAAGGCCTTTATTTGGGGTTAAACACAACTTATCCAGTTTCCAATCCCGGAAGACCCCTGCCCTGCCTGGCAGCACGCAGAGCCCAGCAACCCAACCAGCCAATCAGCAAAGAGATCACGTGCCGCCCACACGAGGCCATCCAATGAGCTGCCTGGTCACGTGCTGGCCGCGTGGCTACAGCTCCCACCTCTTCTGCTTGGCTCCCCCATCTGCCGAGGAGTCACTGGCCTCAGGCTGACAACACTTAAGGAGCTCTCTGCTTCCATCTATTGGTGATAAAGGGAAGCAATAACAGGTGATAGAGCTTAATTTGCATAAGCTTTCTAAGCAGAAGTCTTATGCTGACAATTCAGGTCACTGTACTATGGAAACGACTGGAAGTTGGTAGGGCATGGTGAGAAAAGGTTGTCTAAGAAATTATCTAAAGACTTCTAGCTTGTTTTCTATTCTGAATTTCAAGATTTTCTTTGTGCAATGGTGCCATGCACACTGGATTTTAGCCCAAGAGCTATGGTAGGGACTTTGGGATAGCAGATGGTACCAGGAAGCCTCCTGAAAGGAGCAGGAAGGGCAGCAGCAGCAGACTGGGGTGTATGCGTAGGTGTTTGCTTTAAGCTGCCCTGGCTTCACTGAGGTTGCATTGCGTTATCTCAGGTTGGACTAATGCAAGACAGGCCTCATCTGTGTGGCCCGTGTTAGTATGTGCACGGTCCATGGAAACGAGCACTCTGGGCCTCTGCTCTGCACTGTCACCAAAAATACACAGGCAGGGATGTAGTGCAGCAGGGAGAGAAGGAAAGGAAGGAAAAATGAGATAAAGGCATGATTGCTCCCTGCTCACTTACTCTGGCAGATGGGAATACCACCAGGGAAGTCTGTTTTTACTTATTCAGCTTGGCAAGTTGCTGTTGTGTCTTCCTGAGCTAGTAGCCTGTCCCTTTTTGCATAATGTTTTACTTTATGCAGAACTGGGTCTTGCAAAACCTTATTGCAAGACACCCGCATGGAATATTTCAAACTCTGACATTTGTTTGTGTGTGTGGTGGGGGGATGCTGAACAGAGGCCATATGTGTTTTTTAGCTTAGGGATTCCTAAACTTTATTTCCACTGGGCAAAAGGGCTGCAGAGGAATACTTCATACTGCAATGTAATGTTTATTTTTTTACACTGCGCTTACAGTGTGGATAATAGCCATGAGTGAGAATTTTCAGTGCTGACTTGGGAACGTTGGCACGTCATGTCCTTTAACCAGTGAGCGGAATGCTCAAGTTTCTGTATTCATCAATAAGGGGGTTTCTCCACAGTTTGGCTGAAGAGCAGGACAAAGGGAGGGGAGACTGAGTGGAGCCATGAGCCCAGAAGGACAAAAAGAGCCATCTGCAAGGAGATGGGGCCTTTACAAAGAAGGGAAATAGGGCAATTGCCCCACATTCTTCAGCAAGGGGGACAAAGGAGTTGGTGAGCTCAGGTGAGAACAGATGGCGGGAGGCCGGAGTTCGGTGTAGGCGGGCCGGGAAGGCTGTAACTTCTGAGTACCTTGGCCAATGGGGAAAAGGAGAGGGCGTCCCTCGGTCGGGAAATTAGGATAAAAGGGGGGCTGCGTCCCCCAGCATTTTGAGAGACCCCACAGGGATATGCCCGGTGGACTCTCCCTTTATTCGAATAAAGTTTTAGGACTCCTCTGTCTCCTTTTGGACATTCAGTTCTTGACAGCGAGATTTTCCGCACACCAGGAAGCTTTAAACAGCTTGACTTGATTGTAGTTTTTCTGAAATATTACTAAACAGTTAAGCTCATATGATCTTCATCTGTACCTTTGTGCTGAGCTGGGGAGTCGGGCAGTGTAGGTTCTGGTTGTTGTTTTGGTGAGAAATAAAGAAGCAATTTATGTGTTCCTAAGGGCACTTTATTTCATATGCAGCCAATATCTTAACCTCTTGCGATCTTCGGAAATCCCCTAGCAGAATTGTAGAAAACCGAAATGAGATGCATAAGTATAGACAGATGACGTGCAGAGGACAACATAACATTTACTTCAACTCGGACACCAAGAAGCCGAAGAGATACTCTAGCTACTATGCTATTATTTATTTATTTATTGATAAGGAGCTAATGTAGATCATTGTGAAGAAGGCTCCCCCTAAATATTAGGAATGTCATAAAGTTTATGAGCTTAAGAATAATAGTATATTTTATGCTTTTTGGAGTTTGAACACTTTCTTTCAAGCCCTTTTTTTTTTTTTTTTCTTTGAAGATGCTGATAATCAGTGTCTCCAGTACCAGGGGCCATAAGAAAAAGACTTGATTAAAAAAAACCTAAAAAACTGTGTGGAGGAAGTTCTTTACTATATTCTCTTTGTTTCATGTAAGGTTGACGCAACACAAATATTTTGAACAAAATGACAAATCTAGAGTTTTCAGGGCCTGGCAGAGTTGGAGGTGAAGTTTCTTCTGAGATGGGAAGGCAAAGGCTTGAACTAGTTCTAGGGTCTGGAGAATGATAGGAATAATATACACATTGTGTACTACTGGTGAGAATCAATGGTTAGGATTTCTGATACAAGACATGCAAATGGTCAGTGAAACCATTTGAGTATTTACTATGACAGAGTGGGGTTTAGTTTTTTTGAAAATTCATTTAAAGGATAAACTGAGAAAAAGGTCTTTTTGTGAGTAAGGTATTTTGATTTTTCACTTTGAAATAACTCTTCCAAGGAGACTTTATTATGATCTTGTATAATTTCACTGTCAAATAAAAGCTGAGCAAAAAACAAAACCTCGATTGATTGGAAGCAATTTTTCATTGTTGGTGAGATTTTTGTTTGTGGAGATATAAGGAACTTTTAACCTTTCTGCTTGAAGCTGAGCTGAAGTTTGGAGTCTTAAGATCTTTTGATAGAATGGGATCCACACCTGCTGGATATGCCTATGAAAAAAAAAAAACAACAGGGGGTCTATAGACTAAATGGATATCAGGCAGACTGGCAATGCATCATGGGGAAAAAGGTGGAAAACTAAATTTGGCAGGGTGCTGAGCAGTTTGGTCTTAATTCAGCAAAACTTTCAGCAATATAATTTCATTCTCAATATCTCAATGACTATCTGCATACCTGAAAATGAAGCTTATGCTCAGGGATTTTGCTGAATTGAGTCCTGAATGCTTGGATCCCTTGGGATCAGGTTCATTTTTAACTTTTCTATTCTGTACTTTTGTTCTCCCTGTATCACTAGTCTAGCTCAGATCTCCAACAGATTCCTCTCCCACCCCACTCATTTTCCAGCAGAAACTGCTTAATGCCTTTTACTTTATTAAAATTCTTTGCTTGTGCTTACACTGTCCTAATTTACTGCAAATTTAACTTATGCCTTTATCATTCACTCATGCTCAATCACATCCTGAATGCATTTTAATAATGCTGATAGTGATTGTTTTAACACCTCAGGAAAGAAAAACAAGTAAACAAACCAACAAACCCATTCCTTGTTATTTGTTTCTTTACCCTTTGTTTCCAATCTTCCAGCGATTTTTCAGTCCACATGCTAATACTACTTTTTCAAGACAATTCGGACTGATTTTTTCACTTATGATTTTGTGGGGCACAATAGTCTACTAAAGTCCAAACACACTGAATTTCTTGTGCTACCTTCACCTACTGTGTAATCCATCCAAAAATCCAATTAATATGGGGGGCAGGGGGAGGGGTTAAGTCTTTGAAACTTCTTCCTGCCTGTTTTTCATTATTCTGTGCCCTGAAGGTGTTTAATCATGTATCCCTCTCCTCACTTCCTCCTGAAGTTTTTCCCATACTGAGAGTTGCAGGACCATTCTGCATCTTGTTGGATTGTAAGCCTTTCCAGGAAGGAATGTCACCTGGAAGGATGTCTTACTGTATGTGCTGCCAGATGAAAAACTTCCATGTCGAGTAACCTATGATTCTGAGTGTTTTCCCATTGTGTTCTCCTAGGCCTGTGTTTCACAAGACTCTTCCAGAAAAGTTGGTTTCCAACAGAGCAGTCAAAATGAAAGCAAAGAAAATTGCTAATCACTTTGGAATTCACTGGAATGACCCAGCCATTAGTTGTGGGTAGGCTAACTGTGCCATTTAAATTATTGCACCTAAAAATATCTTGTAAAAACCCTGTCTGTTTCATCTAGGACTACAAATAGGTTTTTTGGTGTGAGAATTTGACCAGAAATATAAATGGTTGAAAGCAAAGGATCTGCTGAATTTGCAAAATGCACCTGCCTGCAAGTAAATCAGAAAAAGAAGGTTGCATGGAAAGAGAGAATAAACATTAACAAATATATACATCATCAAAATGCATTTCAAGGCAGTGCAATAGTGGGAGTTTTAAAGTTGCATTTGGAAAAAAACCCTAACATTTTAAAGTGCTTTGTACACTGTGGTTAGAGGGGTGTTATATATCCTATAGCAGAGATAGGAATAGAAAACAAAACTAGATCATTTTACATCAGGCCTTTTTTTTTTTAAATGAATTTCCTCCATGTG